TAGATTAGATTACTGTTCGCAAATAGTTAAGGATGTGGGCTGTTCTAGTTTTAGGGAAATGCGAAGATTAGCTCAGGATAGGAAAGAGTGGAGGTACGTGTCCAACCAATCTTAGGACTGATGACCTTATGATGATGATGATGATGAAGTGTACCTACAGAATATCCAGTTTTTTCCGAAATTGAAGGAACGGTTGAAGCCATATTGGACAAGAGATTGCAGCATCGTCACTAGAATAGCGGAGCACAGTTTGAATACAAAAGAAAGAAAGAATTAATGGTAGAGCACATAACAGAAACGGATCACCAGGTGAATTATGATCAGACCGATATATTTGCTAAGCATAAAACGACAAAACTTTTCTGGGCTATTCGTTAGGGGAATCGTTAAAATGTAGGTAACAACTTCAGTATCAGGAATCATATTTGTGAGCGTTTTATCCATATTATTTGGACGGATGAACTTACAGGCTCAAATGAAACGGAACGGAGCTCCATAAACCAAGCATCGATAAGCCACATTCCACTTTAAGATCTTTGGAAGAGAAGGTAGCGATAAGTTTGTTGAAATGTCAAACAATCTCACTTATCCATGTATACCAAAAATATAAAAGTTATGGTAATTAAAAAAAAATATCTTTATTGTCAACCAGTCTATTTTCTTAAATTAATAATTGAATTTTCAACTGAGTCACAAGATATTGAGGATTTTGAAATTAATCAAACCTTTCCAAACGTAGCTATTTTAAAAAAATATCTTTGTCTTATTCTTAGTGGTCACAACTTTGTACACGTTAAAGTATGGGCATTAAATGTTCATCCCTTAGTTGCGCCTTTGTTTTTTATGGTTCAACAAGTGTCTGCAATGAAATCCAAACACCTGTGGAACCCATGCCACTCGCAATAAATCACGTTTAGAAACTCGACCGAGCGGTTTACAAGAACAGTATAAATAATTTTAATAACAAGCTATTTGATATCAATTTGTCGGAGTTAAGCCCGCCTCTGGTCCGCCCTTTCCGGTAAACAGGCCGTCCTTAAACACCCCGCCATTGCGTTCAAAATCGGCCGAAACTTGGAAACAATAGCACATCTTTGCACGTATCAAGCAGGCGGGAATCATAAAGTAGTCAGTGATCCGCACGCGAAAATTCCCTTCTCTTTTCAACTGTTTATTTTGTAGATACATCGGTCTTTGTTGGTGTGAATGGGAGGCCAACCGCATTTTCACCGCTCACTGCAACAATGACCAACTCGGATTGTTGTTAGTTGCGTTTTAGTCGTGCGACGGTGGTCGTTAGTAGTTGACGGTTGTTGTTAATACGAGTGTGGTTAACTCTCGCGCGAACTTCGAACTTGGTCGTGGAATGGGGAATTTGGTCTCTGCGGTTGAATCGTGCGGCTTTTTTTAGTGAAAAGAGTCAAAACAAATAAATCCCGGTGAGTTTTTATTAAACGAATGCCACCTTTTTATTGATACTACCGCAATATTTAAACGATTGTTTATTTCTGTTTCGAGTGATGAAATTTAATTGTTTTATCATATATTAGGTAAATACAAAATCATTTTAGAAGTCAAATGAGCAAATGTACTTTTTGGATATATTCTATTTGAATTTTGTATTAAGTTCATTTCCGATTTTAATAGAGCTCGACCTCCCAATTGAGTTTAAAGGACCAATAATAAAAAAGGAGTAAGTTTCTGTGGTACACCAGAGAAACATTTTATGTGTCCTTCTATATCAAACATTAATAGGCCAGTATAGAAATTAATTACGTGTAAGTAACCACGGATTCATTGATCACAATTTTTACTAAGAATACTTTCAATTTTTGACAAAAATAATTTTATTATCGTTGTTTATCTCCCATACCAACTTTAATGACAAGTACAGATTACTTGCATAATAGTAGGGTTGCCACCTTCAAGCATTCACGAGAACTACTCTTCGTAAAGGTTGTTTAACAAAAAATGGATATTCTTCTAAATACCACAAATCGTCCTAAGTGTAGCCAAAATTTTAAACTAATAGTTTTAAAATCACTGTCTGATAGCAGGGCTCTATCTAACAATTTAGCTGCTTCAGGCAAAAGTAATTTTATATTTGCCGCCCTTTACAATGACACCTTATGCACATGTTATCCCAGAGATGCGATGGTACAATTTTTGACCGACGACCGACTTATGTGTGTAATATTGTTGGAATTGTATAATACTCACAAATGTTAGTCTGCTGGAGCTTCTGAACAAGAATACTAAATTTCATGAGAGCATGAAATGAGTTTCCAGCACAGAGCATTATTAGGTACTAGGAGTTTAAACTAAATTAATAAAAAAATAGTATTCGAATTTTTGCATGCATAATTAGAAGCGAATCAACTTGGGGAATCCCCTAAAACGTCACGTTGTAGGATATTCCCCAAAAAAAGTATGACCTATCGGAAATAACTACTTCTCTCAACGTAGGTGGGGGGTTAAACATAAACGAAACGAAAAGAGTTGCCAGTTCAGAAATGTAAAGTTGGTTCTCAAATTAAAAATCGTGAAAATCATTAAGTACACTTCAAGTTTTCCAAAGTGTCAGTTCCTTCTTTCCTATTGTTCTTCCTGTATGGCTGGTTATTACCAGACAGCATTAAGAAAGTCATAAGACATAAAATATATTATATATATCTATATATCTAAACATTTACAGCTAGATAAAATAATAATTAAAAAAAAAACTTTCAAAAATACTTTTTTGTCGGGTTGATGTTATGGGGGTGCTGAGCACTGTAATTTTTAGAAAATTTTTCTGTCCGTGCCCTGCTGATCCCCCCTTATGTCGGTCCCTTCAGGTAATATAGAAATAACTGGCCTTTTTTAAGCTAAGTAATTGCCCACTACAGTAAAGTTAACTCAAAAATTAATTCACTAATGCATTGAAAAAAGCACAAAAAGAAAACAAAAATTATTGTGATCCTTTTCCATTCCTTTAGGTTTCTGCATTTTTAGAATTTCAAATTCAAAATTTCTACTGTAGTATAATTCTTGTACTATTTCCAATTGAAAATCGAATAATAACCATGTAGAAGCTGTTTTTGTAGGTATGAGGTACAAATGTTGCACAATTTGAAAATTGAAAATTAGAGCAACCTACATCTATAACTAAGGATTTGCAAGATCTACGTATATCTATAGGTACCTGCTTAACTCCTATTTCTGCTATAGTCCTTCATGTCCGGGAATGTATGCTATCAACCTATTTCCCCTATTTTTTATTGACTCCCTTAAAGCCCTCTGTTCTCCTACTCTTTTTAATGCATCCTCGTTTTTGTGAATATACCTAGGAATCAAGCATTTGTGACCTATATTTCTCATAAATATTTTTTTGCCTATTATATTGATAGCTTGAAGAGCTATTATTCCCTTCGTATTCCACATGAAGGGAGGGAAGGTTTGATCCCTTGGACGGCTTATGAACACACTTCGATTTTCTAGTAAGTAATTTGTCTAGAATAGCTACAATGGCCATTAAATAGAGTAATTTAATGCAGTTTCACAAAATACCTTGTCCATGTACTATAAAAACAGATATTAATGACAAAAACTGATCGTGATTGTATTTTGCACAGTACCTACTTACACGAGTCGTTGCACCGTAGTCGTTGTATTAAGAAGTAATACTAGAACGTATAGTGTGTCTAATTTTATTGGTGACAATGCGTTATATGTAATTATGGATTAAGTTGTTCCATACTCCTGAGTTTTCGGTAATAACCAGGTAATTGTAAGTTGGTTTTACAAAAATACACGACTGACATCTTACAGTAGCAACAGTAAGATCATCAGACATGCAAAAACATATTTAAGAAATCGGAATAGAATCTAGGAATACTTTGAACGTTTGGCTATTTAGTTAAATAATTATCTACCTACTTAAAATAAAAGTATGTATTTAAAACTTTTCTTTAATTGTTACTTGGGTGACTCATAAAAGAAACAGATTATCACTCTTTGATGAGTTCTTGGTTAAGATTCTGTCAATGGTGAATCGAATTGTCGGTTTTCAATAATACATCGCAGGAAGTTTCGACATGGTATCATTGTTACTGCTTATTAGTTAACAGACAGTACAGTAGATTACCGATATCTTCCAAAATCTGTCATTAAACGTTAAATTAATGTTTGAGACGGTTCTCTTTCATCAAGGACATCGTTTTGTTTGTGATTGTGATTTCTCGCTGTAACTGTCTGACCTAATGAAGTACACATAATAAATCTGGGCAAGTTCTTGATCAGCAGTGTGTCGATCTGTCAAATGTGAATCGGCTCCTAGTAGATACTCTATGAGCAATATGAACTATGGACGCAAAAATAAAATAAAATTACCCTTTTATCATAAACCCTACTGACATTATATTTTCCCTTGATTTCAAAGACGAGACCGCAACATTCCCTCCCGCATAAGAAGTCGCTTTTTCGGATTTTACCATTCTCTGCGTGGATTTTATCATCGCTTTCGTCTTGGGTGACAATTTTCGTGCTAAGGGTGTTACAACTTTACACTTTCTCGATCCTGAGATTAGCAAAATTCATACTTTCAGGTTAGAGCTATGGTAAAAGATGGTATACGGGGCTAGAGAAGAAAGTACGGAACCCCCTTCCGGAAGCTTGCTAATGTCATACTTGGCTACAGTAGTAATTTGCACTTGGGAAGGAATACCATTCTTTCTTGGGTGATATGCTACTAACAACAGGCAGGTATACATTTAATGAATTTTACCATTGGTACAAAATTAGAATAAAACAGAATTCGAATAAAAAAATGCTATAACTTAGACCAGCAGTAGCTAGTATAGAATATATTATTATTTATTATTATTATTATCCTGGTCTTCTCAGTTTTCACTAGTAACTTTGAGCAAGTTATTATTACTATTATTATCTCCTGGTCTTCTCAGTTTTCACTGGTAACTTTGAGCAAGTGAAGACTGGCTAATGCCAAAGAACCTCACTCACAATTTTTGGGATATGGAAAACATTTTACTGTTCTTGAAACTTAGGGAGGTAACGGTTCTTCTTGCCTTGAATTATGATCAGTGAATATTAAAAACTTCGCTTCTTATTTAACTTGTTGTGTTTTCTGAAAAGGGGGATATGTCAGTACTGTTAAGAAATCTGCGCACTATTACTTATATAGGTACGTAAACTTACGCAGTTTCAACTTAGCTGGGCTAGCGTTTAATGTTTTAGGTATAACGCCTATTGATGATATTATTATTGGAATAATTCGAACTGTGTTCTGATTCCACATTTCTTTTATTTCAGCTGCTAAAGGCATAAATTTTAGAATTTTCTCAATATGTTTTTGTTTAAGATTTTCAGTGTTTGATACAGCAAATTCACACAATTACAAATTGGTGAAATCAAAGCATAAGCGATGTTCCAGAATAATAATAAAAATAATTTCTATGAACTATGAACAATGTGTATCAAACCAAATACAATTCAATTCCGACATTGTGATCTATTATTCTGAATAAGATGTCAACTGGCGAAAGGCGTATGTAGGTATAATTAAGGATCGCATTGAGAAATTGGTAAAGACTTTTGCGGCCAGTAGGTGAATTGATGCGGTTCTGATGAAGGCCTAATAAGGTCGTCTTGTGTTGGAGTTACTTCCTAACGTTTTGCTAGCACAACTGACGATCTTTTTCAGAGGCCCTTCCAAGGAGAGTCCGTATCCAGCATCGGAAATGGAAGAAGCTCGCTAATGAAACGTTAGGAAGCAACACCAACGCATGACGGTATTTAGACACGAATCAGAACAGCATCAGTTCAAAGGATCACTTTGTTGTCCGACTGTCCGTATGTCTGTCTGAATGCCCGTCAAAAGTGTCACTTACGAGGGTGGATTGATAAGTTTCCGGCCTAACCAAGAGATGACGCCACTAGGCCTACCTTGAGGTGACATTCTATAGTACCATCCTTGGATAGCTTGTAGCTATAGTTTCAGCCCGATCTCCTTGCTAGTGTAGGTTTGACAGCACGCTGAACAAGACGCCTCTGTGGTTTTCGTAAAAATGGAAAAGCAGGAAAATCGTGCTGTCATCAAATACTTTTATTTGAAGGGGTTAACGCCGAAGGAAATTAAAAAAGAGATGGACTCAACACTGGGGACATCCTCCCCGTCATATTCAACCGTTAAGCAGTGGGTTTCCGAGTTTAAAAAGGGTCGTGTGAGCACCTCTGATGGGCCTCGCTCAGGACGCCCCGTTGAGGTCACAACTCCAGATATGATCGAAAAAATTCATCAAATAGTGCTGGGAGACCGCAGATTGAAAGTGCGTGAGATAGCTGAGACCTGTAAGATGTCATATGAACGTGTGCAACATATTTTGCACCAACATTTGCATATGGAAAAGCTCTGTGCAAGATGGGTGCCGCGTTTGCTAAC